GTATTCGTATTAATTGGTGGTAAGTTACTTGTGTTCTCTACTGTGAACACCCTTGAAAAATAATCGTTAAACTCATTTACTATATCAATTTCGTTATTAATTATAAGGCCCTTACTATCCTGCAAACTAGTGATTTCAGCTTTTAGAGCTCTCGGAGTTAAAATATTGGAAGAAACCTTTACCGTCATCCTTAGCCTCCAATGCAATTTTTCTTTCTACATCCCTCTTGGATAGCCTAATGTTATTTTTTAACTCTGCCTGTAGACTTCACAAAGTATTTTCTTTTAACTGAAGTCGCACCATCATCCCCTGCTGAAGAGGAGACACCAGTTGCAAGTACTTCTGCTTCCGTTGAACCATCTACACCTGGCCTGTCTGGTAGTAATGTTTTACCTGTTGATTTATGTTCTTTTGTTTCACCAATTCCATCTACTTCTACAGCCAGTCCTAGTGACACTATTACACGTTCATCCAAAAGATATGTTTTAACACCGAGGTGTAATTTTTTTTAAAAGAGACTTGTTTTTGTTTCAAAAACCAGTGTTGAAATGAAAAGGAAGTATCAGTCTTCATTGCAATCATTCAAAAAAACTTTAAGTTCTTCTTGTGTGAAACGTCTTAATCAAGACATTAAACGTAAAAAGGCAACCATTTAAAAAAAAAATGCTATTATTAACCTGTTAGGAAAGGAACTGAAGACTAATCAATTGCCTGAAGTAGACAAATTAAAGCTTGAATTGGCTAAGGAGAAGAAAAGACAAATTGTTAAAACATTATTATAAATGCAAACATTTTCGTAGTAGCAATAGCAGTAGCACCGGTGCACCTGATCCTGTTGTGCAACTAGAAGAAAAGGTTAAAGAACAGGGTGAAAAAATCAGATTTAGAAAATGAAAAACTTGTTTTGGAGGAAGAAATTGCATTAATGAAAGACAATCGGAGCAACATTTTTCAGAAAGAAGGGAAAACATTTACATTTGATTTGAGAATGTTTGTTTACGACAGTATTTTAAACAATGTGCCAACCAAAAATGTACCTGTTTTGATCCAGAAATTTGCACAACGATAAGGTCTTACTGTC